AAAGCCCCAGTTAAAAACCCCAAATGCTCCATCCAGAGGCAAAATCCCAAATATTCCTTCTGGAAACGTGGGACACACGTGGGGAGATGGAAGGAGATCAAAACCTAACCCACAAGCAGGGTTGTAGGCAGAGTCCCCTCCTGAATTTCCCTGAGGAAATAACACAGCTGCAGAGTTTATTGCAGTTTTAATCAGGGCTCAGTGTCACCCACAGCACACCCAGGGCTGGGATTCCTTTTTTAAAGGGGTTTCCATCAGCTCTATTAGAATTTGTTTGCCACAGGGTCTAAAACCAGCCATAAAAAAAAAAAAAAAAAACCAAAACAGAGATGTGCTGAAAAATCCTACACAGGGAAATATTCAGGCTAATATTTTTATGTAAGAGATCACCAGCTTTTAAGTGCCAGTTGTTTAATATGCTGCCATAACTCAGTGGCTTTGAAAGCAATTAGAAAATGCCATAAGCTGCAATTTCTGAGGAGTAATGTGCCTTTGGAGCATTTGGGAGGGAAAAGGGAACAATTGTGGATTTCAGTGCTGGAGCTGACATGAAAACAGCAGTGGGGGAAAGCACAAGGATGAATGTTTCCATGAAGAATTGCTGATTTTTTAATCAAAGTACTTAAATTACTTTGATTGTCACAGAATTTGTGATGCAGATCAGTGCATCACATCAAAGACTCCGTGGATTTTCAGGGATTTTCCTCAAACTCCTCTCTGTCAGAATCACAATGCATCACAACTCTTCTGCCAGCTCTAGTAACTAACTTCCTCCTCTGTGTAAATGAATAACTTCAAGAATATCATTTAAACTTTTATTTCTCGTTCACAGAGTTAAAAAAATAAAAAAAAAAAGCAAACCAAAACAAAACAATGCTTTTACCTCCTGGCAGGTCAGGCATGCAAGATCAGATTTCACTTTTTAGCCAAATAAATAATTTAGTGAGTGGCTCTAATGACTGCTGCTGCCTCTCTGCACTCCAGCAAAGCCTTTTAATACTTGGTGCAATAAAAATCTCCCCGGTCAGACTAAACAAGGAGCTCAAGAATGAAAACTGCCAGGCTGGAACATTGGCCAGCAGCTCCAAGGTAACTGCTGGGCAGGAGGGATGTTCAGCACGAGTTACAGCTCACCTGCAAAGCTGCAGATGTTGAGCTCTTAAATCAGCATCCACAAACCCAGGCAGGCAAAAAGATTAAAATGGTAAAGGGGGGAATACAACAGTTTAATCTGTCAGAGTGCCAGAGAAACACAGAATTTAAAATATTCTATATTTTGGGGAGATTTCCTCCAAAACAGCCTCCAAAACAGAGATTTCCTCCTCCTGACAGCAATCTCAAAGGAGCAACATTGTGAATTCCTCTTTATTTGTGGGGGAAAGAGAGTGGAAATGGAAGCTGCTGCAAGAGACTGATGGGTTTTTCAAGGCTAAATTGCAAACAAGGAAAATCTTCAAGTCTATTGCAAAGACCAAAAAGTCAATGCACAATGAGTCACAGCTGAAATATTAAATTCCCATTTGGAGGTTTAATATCAAAGGAGCTGAATTCCTAAGAACAATAAAAACCCCAAATGCTGCACTAAAGCAGGTACTGAAAGCAAAACTGCACTTACCAATATGAAAAACCCAAAACCAAATATGAATTTTAAAGAGATCAAAGTGGTTTGACATTTTTGTCAATAATGTCATCCACCTCCCTGCCACTGGAGAGCTTAAAAGGATGGAATTTCCTCTCAGATATTTCCCCTTGTTGTGAGGGCAAGGGAATCACTCTAGGTTTAAATGGGAAATCACCACTGAAATATCCCAAGGAGGAAAAGGGCAGGAGGCACCAGTGTCTATCCCAGCATCTCCCAAGTTTTTCAATTTTCAGTATCTCATTGCACAGAACAGTGTTTAAATTGAGCTGTGCAGATCAAAACTATAAATAAATTGTGTTTTCAAAGGTGCCCCACTACCAGGAGGGGTTAGGAAATGGGTCAGCTCAGGGTGAACCACTTTGGATGAAAATTGTGTTGTGTGCCAAAGGAATATTTACAAATACAAACCAAACAGACCATGGGAAAGCAGCCACAAATAAACGCAAACAAAGCAGCGTTCACCTCAAACACCTTTAACAACAATAAACAGGTACCAAAACCAGCTTTCATTGGGATTTCTTCTATTCAAATTTGATGTGTAAGAGTGAAAACAAAGCAAAATGAAAATCAGAGTGGTGTGAGCTGATGGGGCTGGTGCTGTTGAGCATCAGGGGGTGACAGGGACATGGGGACAAGGCTGGCAGTGACACCAAAGGCAGTGACACCAAAGGCTGGGGAGGTGGCTCTGGGACAACTGATGAGGAACCACCCAACCAAGTGTAAGGAAAATAATTCAGCATCCTGAGATCTGGGGGAAATAGAGGTGTTAGGACCTGTGGCAGCTCCAGAAAAATTTTTTAGGAGTGGGATGAAATTGCACAGCCCAAAACCTTCCCCAGCAGCATCAGGGAGGAATTTACCCTGGAGGAATCCCCCAGGGCACAGCAGCACCTCCAGCATGAACAAAACAAACCCAACAACTCCCAGGAAATGGCAGCAGCTCCTCCTGAGCACACAGGGAGGGAGGGAAGCAATCAGGGAATGTGGAGGAGGAAACTTCACAAAAACATCACCTTGGCTCCTTGAATGCAACCCAACACAACCCCAGCATCAGCAGCTGTGCACGAACACATCTGGAGAAAAGGGGAATTGGCTCCAGGTTCTTATCTTTGCTGAGCTATTTTATCCACAAATATGTTTACTGAGAAAAAAAAAACTCCACATTTTTTCCAAAAAACTCCAATTTTCCTGCAGCCTGGAAGCTGAAGGTGGCAGGGAAGTGGGTTTGGAATGCTCTGCACAGGGCAGGGGGAGAGCAGCACCTGGAAATGTGGACAAGGACATTCCTCCCTCCTGGTACAGGGTCAGGATGCAGAACATGAACAAAAAACAGGGACTTGCATGAATGCATGCAATTACTTGAAATTAAGATCAGATTCTTACATCATTTAACCAGTTTCTACTCTCCATGCAGGGTCATCCAAAAGTTTGTGAACAGCTGAAAGCCCTTATGGTGGAATGGACTGATGAATTCAAGAATGACCCACAGCTTAGTTTAATATCTGCCATGATAAAAAATCTTAAGGAGCAAGGAGTTACTTTCCCAGCTATTGGCTCACAGGTATAATTAGCATGAAATGTTTCTTTTCACCTCTCAAAACACTTTTCAAAGATTAATTGATAATTTCAGCATCCCCAAGAGGGGCACCAACAGCAAACACTTCAGGTCTGCCCACGAAACAAAGCCAAGGAAGGGAAGTAATTTGGAAAATTGTAAAGATCAAATTGAGACTGAATTTCAAACACCCAAATTTCTGACTTCAACTCTTTATAGAGACAGAAAACTTGATAAAAAAAGCTCAATGATGTAAAAAATAAAAAGGAAAACAAACATTACTCAATGTGTGTGTGACAGCCCTTCCCAACAGACTTGTGTTGTTCACAGAGTCTGGTGGGTTCACCACAAGCACCTGAACTTTGTGCCAGCTGATGCTCTGGGGACAGCAAAGTTGATTTCCATTTCCCACTGGAACAAAAATTCGTGCAGAAACAGACAAATCCAAACAAGTTCCAAGTATTTTTTCTATGTTCTCAGTTCTTAAAATGATGAATGAGAAAAGGCAAGGAAAGTTACAAGTCAGGAAGCAGCAACAGAGTGAGGAAGCTTTTTTTTCCCCTGGTTCAATGAACCCTGAATTCTGACTTTTGTTAGAAATGAAAAACATAATTTAAAACATACCCAGCTGTAAAATCAAAATGAACTCAACCTCTGGTTGAAAATCAGACATTTTGGTGCCAAACTTGAAGCAGGCACCTCAGTCTGCCAAGAGCCTGTGCCATGGGAATGGATCCACTGCCAGCTAAAAGAGCTCATGGGCATCTTTAAACCTTCCAGCTTGTCCAAGTCATGACTTCCAACGTGAGTTACCACAACCCAAATCACCCAGACTGCAATAAAACACACAATTATAGATGAAGGACTTTGGATTTGCATTAAAAATGCTACTCTGGTTACTGCTGCTCAGCATGAGAACCTGGCAGAGGAAAGGAAAAATGAAATTACTCCATTTCACAGGACCTTTAAAGATCCATGAGAAATCAAAAAATACAGGATGGCTTTAATGAAGAAGTGTGAAAATTCTCAGTAACTGCTCAGTAATCACAAACTGGTTGAGTGACCAGTTCAAGGTTAATTGTTGACTTCATTAAAGCTGCTCATTAAGGAATGTGGGACCCAATTCAGCAGTGAAAGTGCAGAGAAATGCCAGGAAAAGGCTCTTCAGGCTGTAATGAGAACTGTGAGGAGACAGGGATGCAGACAGATACACAGCTTGAATCACAAGCAGAAAAATGACTGACAAGCTGAGGAAATGGCAGCTTTGGGGAATGGCAAATTCAGAGTTTGGGTGTGGAAAGAAAGGAGAAAAGCAGCAGAACAGGCAGTGGCCACTGATGGAAACAGAAACAGCAGCAAAACCAAGTGAAAGGAGGGAGCTGGGACACAGCTGAGATATCAAAGCTGTGGCTGGAATATTCTCATGTCTGTCTGTGCTTCACCCCCCTGCTCAGAGCAAACAGGACCTGAACCTGCCCAGCCCCAGCTGGGGGAGTTCCCTCTCCATTTCACAGATTAACAGACCCCCAGTGCCAGCACACACAGAGATCTCATCCAAAACAAAACCTGGGAGTTCTGAGCCCTGGGAACCTGCTTTATTCACAGGTCAGCACAGTCTTAGGAAGAAAATTAATTCCCACCCAGCCATGCTTTGGGTAAGGGGGGAGGTTTGGGAAAAGCAAAACAATCCTGACATCAGCCAAGTTTCATTAATAGTTGAGGGCTAGACTGATAAAACAGCTTCATTTCCACAAAGCCTGTGCTGTTATTTAACAAAAAATCAGATTATCCCAGCTGCCAGACCTGCAGATCAGCTCAGGGGTGCTCCAGGAGGGTCGGGCTGTGCCAGGCTCTGTCCCTCTGTCCCCAGCTCACAAAGGACACCCGGCTCTGTCTGTCCCTCAGCTGGGCACTCCGAGCACAGGGACTATTCTGTTCTCTCAGGTGACCTTTCAAGCGGAAAAGAAGAATCGCATTCCAGCAGAGCCACTCCTCAAATCAGGGCAGGTAACAAAGCCAACGGGGTTTAATCCTTCATTAGCGGGCGGGCCGGGCTCGGGGAGCGATCCGCGGCCACAGCTGAGGGTTATTTGTGCTGGGGCCGCCTCAGGAGCTGTCCC